TGCTTGGGAAGGGGGATTAGAAAAGGAGTTGAGCGGGGAAGGAGTAAATATTGGGCATGCAGGTATTTATGCCTGAGTATAATTTTCAGGAATTAAAAGTGTTAACTAGTGGACCCGCTGCCCTCAGGAAGTTATCTATTGTAAGCAGGAGTTAAATGAACAGCCTTGGGCATAGGAATGGTTTTAGCTTTCAGCTGTATTTATACAGCTTTGGGAATTAGAAAACAATTTAAAATGCAGGACAATTAAGCTGCCATGCTATCACTGTGTATCTATAGAATGAAACTGATGAAAGGGTGATGAAGGTCATCAAAGTGAGTTGTAGCATGTTATTCATTAGTGTAGTATTTTAACCAGCAGTTAAGATAATCCCTTAATGTTAGGATGATGTGCCGCTGAACTGGAACATGTATAGGCTTTGCTATTAAATCCTGTTTAGTGTAATTCAATGCATCTTCTTTTAACAACTGCAAACTCTGAAGAGAAATTGATATTTTACATGTGTCCTAGTTTTGGCTGGGATAGAGTTAATTTTCTTCCTGTTAGCTGGTATAGTGCTGTGGTTTGGATTTAGGATGAGAATAATGGTGGTATCGCACTGATGTTGCTGAGCAGCGTTTATACTAAGTCAAAGACTTTTCTGTGTCTCACACCACGCTGCCAGCGAGGGCTGGGGGTGCAGAAGAAGCTGGGAGGTAACACAGCTGGGACAGCTGACCCAAACTGGCCGAAGCTCAGCATATAAAGCTAGGGGGAGTTGGCCAGTGGGTTGGGGGTAGCTGCTGCTTGGGGACTGGCTGGCCATTGGTCGGTGGATGGTGAGCAATTGCATTCTGCATCACTTGTTTTGTGTGTTCTTTTATCATTATTATTATTTTCCCTTCCTTTTCTGTCCTATTAACTGTTTATCTCAATCCTTTTTTCTGATTCTCTTCCTCATCCTGCTGGACAGGGTGGGGGCAGCGAGTGAACAGCTGTGTGGTGTTTAGATGCCTGCTGTGTTAAACCACAACAACACAGCATCATCAAGAATCCTTGTATAGTTGGAACTTTTATAGCTACTGTACACAACAAAACCGGGAATGCCTTGTCTTTGAACCTGTGCTGCATGTTTAACTTCTGTGGCTACTCCTGGAACTTGTGAAATGACATCATCAGCAGCTACTTTTCCCCCTGGTGGGAAGTGCTTTAAGTTGGATACATGACACACTGATTATTGTTTCTCTTAAGAAGTCAATTTGCAACTAGCCTAATGGGTATTCCATACTATGTGAGCCATGCTCAGTATATGGCTGAGGAGCTGGCTGAGGAAGTAGGGAGAAAGAGTGCAGACTGGTTTGTCTTCGCTTGGAGGGGCATCCAGTGCACCTGGAATTACCGCTCCAGGGGTGGAAACATAGCCCTGACACTTGCCATGGACTAATACAGACTGCGGTGGAACAGAGGGAAGCTCTGGAACACTTACAGTGCATTGACAACATAATTGTGTGGTGTAACACAGCAGGAAGAAGTTTTTGAGAAAGGGAATAGAATAGTTCAAATCCTTATGAAAGCTGGGTTTGCCATAAAACGAAGTAAGGTCAATGGACTTGTACAGGAGATCCAGTTTTTAGGAATACAATAGCAAGATGGGTGCCATCGGATCCCAATGGATGTGATCAATATAACACCAGTTACGTGTCTCCACTGACTAGTAAAAAGGAACCACAAGCTTTCTTAGGTGGTGTGGATTTTTGGAGGATGCATATCCCAGATAAGTCTGATTGTGAGCCCTCTATATCAAGTGACCCAGAAGAAGAGTAATTTTAAATGGGGCCGTAAGCAACAGCAAGCCTTCTAACAAATTAAATAGAAAATAGTCCATGCAGTAGCCCTGTGGCCAGTCCAGGCAGGACAAGATGTTAAAAATGTGCTCCACACCACAGCTGGGGAGAACAGCCCTACCTGGTGCCTTTGACAGAAAGCACAAGGGAAGACTCTGGGTCGATCCCTAGGGTTTTGGAGTTGGGGATACAGAAGATCTGAAGCCCTGCTATACACCAACTGAAAAAGAGATAATGGCAGCATATGAGGGGATTTGAGCCGCTTCAGAAGTGGTAGGTACGAAAGCACAACTCCTCCTACCATCTTGACTGCCAGTGCTGGGCTGGACGTTCAAAGAAGGGATCCCAGCCTTACATCATGCAACTGATGCTACAACTACATGGAGTAAGCGGATTGTACTGATCACACAGTGAACTTGAGTGGGAAACCTGTCACCCAGGAGTCCTGGAAGTGATCGTGGACTGGCCAGAAGGCAAAGATTTTGGAATGTCAGCAGAGGAGGAGGTGATGTGCAGAAGAGGGCCCACTATATAATAAACTACCAGAAAATGAGAAAAAATATGCCCTGTTCACTGATGGGTCCTGCCAGATTGTGGAAAAGCATCAAAGATAGAAGGCTGCTGTGTGGAGTCCTATACAATGAGTTGCAGAAGCTGCTGAAGGACAAGGTGAATAGAGGCAGTTTGCAGAGCTGAAAGCCATCCAACTGGCTTTAGACATTGCTGAACAAGAAAAATGGCCAGTACTTTAACTCTATACTGGCTCATAGATGGTGGCAAATGCTCTGTGGGGGTGATTGCAGCAGTGGAAACAGAGCAACTGGCAGTGCAGAGGTAAACCCCTCTGGGCTGCCCCATTGTGGCAGGATATTGCTGCCTGGATAGAGAATCTTCTTTTCAAGGTACATAATATGGATGCCAATGTGCCCAAGAGTCAGTCTACTGAGGAACATCAAAACAACCAGAAGGTAGATGGGACTGCTGAGATTGAAGTGTCTCAGGTGGCAACATAAGGGGAAATTATTCATAGCTTAATGGGCTCATGACATCTCAGGGCCATCAAGGAAGAGATGCCCCATACAGATGGGGTCGTGACTAAGGGATGGATTTGACCACGGACACTATTGCATATCCATGTCATCCATGAATGTGAGACGTGCTGCAGTCAAGCAAGCCAAGTGGTTAAAGACTCTTTGGTATGGAGGATGATGGCTGAAATGTCAATACGGGGAGGCCTGACATTGTATTACACTGCCGCAAACCTGCCAAGGTAAGCTTCCACAATGGTGGAAGCAACAACTGGTGGCTGGAAACATACCCTGTGCCTCATGCCATTGCCTGGAGCACCATCCTGGGCCTTGAAAAGCACATCCTGTGGTGACATGGCACCCCAGAGAGAACGGAGTCAGACAACGGGACTTATTTCCTCAAAGACACCTGGGCCAAGGAGCGTGGCATTGAGTGCCACATCACATCCCCTATTGTGCTCCAGCCTCTGGGAAGATAGAATAATACAATGGACTGCTAAAACTACACTGAGAGCAGTGGGTGGTGGGACCTTAAAACATTAGGATACACATTTAACAAAAGCCACCTAGTTAGTTGACACCAGGGGATCTACCAGTCAGGCTGGCCCTGCCCAAAACTTCACGTATTGTAGAAGGGGATAAGGTCCCTGCAGCGCACATGAAGAATATGTTAGAAAAGACAGTCTGGGTCTGCCTCAGGCAAAGGCAAACCCATCTGCAGGATTGCTTTAGCTCAAGGACCTAGGTGATGTGGGAGGGTGGAGAGGTCTGATAGGTACCTCATGGGGATCTAATTTTGGGTAAGAATAGCCAATTAATCAAATTGTATGATGTTAATTGTTAAATAACCTTGCCAGTGTATGTCATCATTACTGTAATTGCTGTATGCCATATCAGTGGTACTACAGTAAGAATCACCCAAACTAATGACAAATGAACTTCGATGAAACTGAGTAAAGTGCAGCGTTGATGGGATCAGGACTGACCTCAGCAACTTTTGCCCCCAACTTCTTTGAGATCGGTATCTTCAAACTACAGACCATGGGCATGAGTCGCAGCGGATACACCAGCCGTGAGCTCCAACTACAGCATGCAACAGCCCAGCATCACGCACCATCTCATCTGCCCTGAGAGGCTGTTCTAACAGATGAAGCCCGAGGTTGTGGATTAAATAAACTCAACAGACATTTTAGAGGGATGGCCCATAGACTAAGGGATGATAACTGTATGTGTGTATATATATATTTATATAGAAGACAGGGAAAAGTGGTGGTAGTTAATTGGAAAGTGTAAGATCTGCATGTGATGAGATAGTATAGAACAAGGGGTAGATAATGTCCTGGTTTTGTTTGGGATAGGGTTAATTTTCACACGGAGTGGGAATGGGACACAGCTGGGTTGGCTGACCCAGACTAGCTGGATGGGCAGCCTTGCCCAGTATATAGCTGGGGAACTGGCTGGGGGAGGGGGCAGAAATTGCCAATGTCAGAGCAGGCTCTACTTTGGGTTCCAACTAGTGAGCACATTAATTGTGCTTTGTATATTCCTCTGTCAGTATTATTATTGTTGTTTTCCCCTTTCCTTCACTGTTCTGTTAAACTGCCTTTATCTTAAACCCTGAGTTTTGCCTTTTTTCTGATTCTCCCCCTATCCCACTGCTGGAGGGGGAGCGAGGGAAAGATAGTGTGGTTCTTTGTTGCTGGTTGGGGCTAAATCATGACAACCTGTATAACTCTTCTTTTAAATTCACTTAAAAAATAGAAGGAAAGATTTTTGTATCTGAATCAGAATGGGAACAAAATCACCTTTTAAATGTCTTGCAAATAACATTGAGCCGTTATTTGTATTTGTAATTCTTTAGATATATCATCTCAGAAGCACATTTGAAATTTGGCCTAAGAAAAGGGTGCTTAAGTAGGATACATATGTTCTTGGTTGTGCTAATGTGACTTACGAATATTGTCAGCTGTTGTGGTATGTAGATTTTTTTGTTACTGTCCTGACTCATCAGTTTGGGGGAAGTTCTAGAACTGTGTGTTGCAGTGCACACTGACACTTCTCTCTTTTACAAGATGGGTCAGTAATAAAATATTTCTGTCTCTAAAATTATTACATCTGACAAATAATATTTTTTTCCTTTCCTTTACAGATATTTTCCAATTTATCCCTGAATGAGCGTTGCCTTTCAGCGTCATTAGTCTGTAAATACTGGCGTGACCTCTGTTTAGATTTTCAGTTTTGGAAGCAGCTGGATCTCAGTAGTCGTCAACAGGTATGAAGGTATCATTGTGCAAAAATTATGTTTCGGTGACTCAGAATTTATCCACAGAATGTGTACTTTTTACCAAAGGTAAACAAACCCACGAAATGGTGATAATCTGTGCTTTCAGGGGTTTTCCTACTAGAGGCTGAAGTTGTCTGAATCCTTAGATTAATTCCTTTAAATGTAGCTTCTTTTGACTGTGATCAGTGGTTAAACAGTGTGAGGACAAGTGCTGTTTGAAATGGATTGTGGTTTACATGTCTCAGGTCTGTATCAGGAGTTCCATTTATAAGAACTATTGGATCTCATATTAATTGAAAGAAATATGTGAGCTTTTTTGAGGATGGTCAGGTAACTGGTGCTTGCTCTGTTTAACAAATTTTCTTTAATTTTTTCCTTCAACTGATGTGGCTTTTACTGATGAGAAGACAGATTGTGTCTTTTTAGGCCTTTAGCCAATCCTAGGATTAAGTATATCAGGGATTCATGGATTTAATTTAGTGAGATCCTTACAGAGACTACCCTTAGATTGTTCAGGTTAACTTTCCTCATTCGAAACCTTTTTAAAGGATGTCCATGGTGTCTGGCCAACCTCTTTAGCTTTCATGTTACTTAGTTATTTGCAGAGGTTTGTAAAACAATTTCTTGAGAGTTTCATGAAGATACAGGTTGCAGGAGAACAACTATTGGAGGGTCCCATTTGAAGAATCAGCGATGTGAACTCATCTGTATTGGACATAAATAGTCTATGTAGGATATTATTCTCAGTTCACCAATTGGTAAGAAAGCTTACCTGCAGGTTTTCTTATTGAGTTCCTAACCCAGTATTAAGCACAAATTTTATTCTTCTCCATGTGTAGGAAGAGTTTGGTGTTCTGGTTTTTTTCTGGTTATTGTTGGGGTTATTTGTTGGCTTGTGGTTTTTTTTTTTG